TTTAAAAACTTGAGCGTGTCTTGGCTACCATAATAAAGGAAATCTTCTCTAAATGTAGAACTAAATCCATTGATATGCATTGAAATACATGATGAATACTCTTGTCTTGACGCATGAAAGTGTAAAGCCTGCAGCTCACAACAAATGTGGAGAGTTATTGCGTGTCATATTAAATATATTAATCAGATGATGTCATTACGCTGCTGTGCCGTCAGCCAGTCATTGCATTGCTGATCATGATTTCGAGGATGGATAGATCTGTCCTTCACAACACACGCAGCGATCTCAGATCAGTTCATCCAGACATTCTAATCTGATTCACGAACTTGTTTGAAGAACAAAATTAGCCAGAAATCAGTTATCAAGATTAAAAGATCCAGGATCTGCCAAATCATCTTAGATCATTTAAGCGAGGTACGAAGAACAGACCCCTGGAGTGCCTCAGAGTGTCTGGTGTGTGAAGTTTCAGGTCAAAAAACCCCACAGATAATGTTCTTTAACTCTCTGAAACGGACCCTTTTAGTCTTTGATCCTAATTGTGGCATTTTGGTGCTTGTTGCTTTAAATTCATATGAGACTGTGCTCTTTTAGACAGAGGGCTGAGCCATAAATGCATGTGTGTCAGCATAGTGGCAGATTCAAAACAAGACTAACGTTACAATGTCAGTGTGAGTGCTTCATGCTTCTGTCAGTCTATGGAGACTCATTTGTAGATTTGTGCTTCATCTAAAACTCCACATCTATAATCCTCTTAGTCTATGCTGACATTATCTTCAGCAGCTCAAACACTCTAATGCAGGGGTCACCAAACTTGTTCCTGGAGGTCTGGTTTCCTGCGGATTTTAGCTCCAACCCTAATCAAACACACCTGAACAAGCTAATCAAGGTCTTACTAGGTATACTTGAAACACCCAGGCAGGTGTGTTGAGGCAAGTTGGAGCTAAACCCTGCAGGGACACCAGCTCTCCAGGACCCCTGCTCTAATGGCTAATGGACAGACGGCTGCTTCTCACTCAGGGCTACTGTTTATGCTAATGAGGGAGAGATTGGCTCTAATGGGCGGGGTTTTCCTCTTCTGATGATACGTACAAAGGGAGAATGTCAATCAAAGTGTTTCTGCAGACTTGTTGTGATTATAAAAATAGAATTAATTAATGTATACTTTTAGAGGCTGGATATACTCACACACTGCTGTGTTTAAAACCCCTAATGAAAGGGATTTTTGTATAATAGGCGACCTTTTAATGTTTCTACAGAAACTGATGAGTGAACTGGAGCAGAAGGAGATCCAGCTGAACGTGCTGAAAGCGAAGGTGGACTCTCTGCTGAAGAACAAACACCCTGCGTCTGATAAGATCCAGGTGAGCATCTCTAAAGTCCGCTACTGGGTTTTTACCCATCCTGCTGTGTTTCTTGCAAGGCGTGGGAATCTGTAAGGATTTCATGAACCCACTCAGATTCTGGGAGTCAAGATTTGCTTCCATAACAATTCTTTGTTCCCATTTAATTTGGCACCAGCTTTACATTTGAACCCGAATTGCAGTTTCTGCGCTTTTGGTTTATGTATGACAGTGCTGCTATCTTAAATATTATTAGTTCGCATACACTTAAGGTATGTAGTTCATATTTACCATACAAGCCAGCACTCGTGTTTTTCCCGGGAGGCTCCCGTATTTCAGACAAATCTCCCACCACCCTCCCGTTTTGTTATTTCTCCCGGCAAACTCCCGTAATGCCATCCCCCTCCCTTCCTCAGCTTTTTGGTACAGTCTATAACAGCCCCGGATCTCCGACTTTGGTATAGTATCCGATCGCAGTGTTATTCAGACACCTCACCCCCAACACCTAGACATCCCCACCATTCCACTACACCAACGCCCCCCTGCTGACGTTAACTAAGTATGAATAATCTTGTGAAGCATTTATTAATCATAGTGTAACATTAAGCGGATGGCACGGTGGCTCAGTGGTTAACACTGTGGCCTGACAGCAAGACGG